TTACATTTGAACTCTAATTGGTTAGAGGAGTCACCAACTTGTGGTGATTGATCATCTCATAGTTCGTAGTATCATGTTTATTGCATTTTAATTTTCTAACAATCCTTATTTTATGGTATTCTTGTTATGATCTATTTTAAATTTTTTTGCAAGAACTTAAAACCATATTTATACATATATATTATTCATTGTTGTATTACCTCATATATGTATATTAAATGTTATTTATTTATTGAGTTGTTAAACTCGCCTTCTAATTATTTATTTTTTTCAGACTTATAGATTGTTAGCATTTACTTTTTTTAAACTTTCAAAACCTACTATTGTGGTTGTAATTAATACTTTTTTTCTTTATGTTTAATTAGTGATCCACAACTATAATACTTATATTAACTCTTATATTAAGATAATCAATTTATATAATGTGATTAGTTATATTATTATATTGCATAAAACTTTGTTTTATTTATATAGATGAAAAAGTTTGTATGTAAATTTTGTTTCGTATAAGTATAAGAACCTAAAAGGAAATCTTGTTTATGTGTCGATCATGAATTCAAAAATCAGATTATGATAATTAAATCAGATTATGATAATTACATCATAATGAACTAAATAATTTATGATTGATGTAGAACATGTTTAAGAAAGTAACTGAAAGTTTGTAGATTATTTACAAAGAAACAACAAGAAAATTTCTCATGAAACCAAGAGTTAACAACAGTAAATAAAATCAAATAAACCTTTTCGTTTATGTATATGATTAAAATGGCTAACCACTAAGATATGTGCAAAAGCTTTCTGATAGATGTAGAGCAGTTCTGTGGACCTCAAGCATTAATCCAACAAAGCCTAGCCCTGTCAAGTTCTGAACTTGCTTCTCAGCTTACTCGTACAGCTTTATCTTTGTGGTTATATAGGCTTGACAAATGGGGCATTGATTCAATTCTTTCCCGCAATCATAGCATGTCTGCAGAAGAATTGCAGAAATCAGAATGAACTATATCGGGAAAGAGATTGCAACATAAGTTCCATGTTGTTCTCAGGTTATTACCTGATGTCCACATCCGAAAGCAAGATCTTTCTTATTCCATAAACACGAGGGACAGTGCTGCAAAGCATAATGAAACAGTTGAAAACTAAATTAGCAGCATTGCTTCTTGATCTGTAGAAGGGACATAAGCAGCATTGTATAAATGTCCTCTCAGAAGTCTAGAATATGAGATGTACCCTGTTGTCTGAAGAATGATCTCTAGAAGGGACATAAGCAGCACTGCTTCTTGACCTGCTATTTGTGGGATAGGAATTAACCGAGCCATTCCCATGTGGAGGAGGAAGAGCATTCCTTCCAGGAGCACCTTTTTGGCATCTGCAGGTAGATGATAATAAGAAACAATTTGGTATCATGGTAATGGTTGCTTTTTAGAATTTTTTTATTTGAAAATGTTTTAAAATAATATTTTATTTTTAACTTTAACAAATTAAAATAATTTATAAATATAAAAAAAAATTAATTTGAAGCAAAAAAATATTTAAAAAAAAACACTTTTAAAATACAAAAACAATCGTTTTAAGAACAGACTTCAAGTATTTGCCTGTTAGTGGACATTTTACCCTAGGAGTTGGAGTTCTATTGTAGCCTTGTATTGGGATGGTATTTCCATTAACGCGTCCAGAGCAAACTGTGTCTCCTTCTTAGACATGGGAATGTTTGTCGACATAATTTCTGTGAAATTCACGAACTGCATTGGACAAACAACACCTAAAAACTCAATTCGACGTCAAAGCTTCTGTTATAGTTCCAGGTTAATCTTTCAAACCTGAAAATTATCAAAAGCCCGAGAAGGAATGTTGTCATCGAATTTGTGCATCATGTCCCATGGTCCATCACCAACCCCAACCAGCACAATTGACAAGGGATAATTACTGCAAAAGGATAAAACTTCATATTTTGTTAAATATGAACTGCAAGATGTTGAAAAAGACTTCTCAATGTTACTACATACCTTGCTTTTACAATGGCATTGATAGTATTCTGCTCCTGAGGACTCAACTGCCCATTAACAGTCCCTACGCTACTTGTAACCTGGGATGTCATGTAATCAAGAGAATCAACAAAAAGAATCAAGGAAAGATTTAAAGTATAAGCAGTAGTAGTTACATCTGGACACTTTTGAGGAGAAGGAACTAACCTGACCATCAGCAATGATCAGAAGAACATGATACTGACCACCACTATTGTCCACAATTTCGATAGCAGTTTCAATGATTGGAGCAAAAGATGTCGGGCCTGTCATAACTCAGCACGATAAATTTTCACCAGAAGGAGGTCAAAGGAAAATTTTACATGATTGCTGTAAGAAAAATCGTTTAAGCTGACCAGCTAAGTTAACACGGGGGACTATTTCTCTGTAACGACTCAAGACTTCCTCAAAGCCATTGCATAGTTGATCATCCGGATAGAAGCTAAAAACTTTTTGATCATGAGTAGTGGCTGCAAACGAATTTACAGACTCCATGTTACAACAATCTATTTCATTGACCCTAAAACAGTACTGAAATAGCAAATTGCTGAGCATATATGCCATGCATCTTTGCATCCAACAAGAAAGATGACTCACCATCACCAAAGCCAAAACAAGGGATGAGGTTATCCTCATCAAAAGCTGACAGTGTTCTTCCTATTATTGAAATCGCCTGTTCATATGGATTCATAGAATCCCCGAGGTGATGCAGGCTCTTCCTGTGGAAGGATCGTGCACCGGTCCACTCATTGCTTTTGGTAAAATCAACGCCTACAATAAGGTTGGAAGATTCCAGCCCAGCTTGTGCAAGAGCTCTTGTCACCTACATAAATTTTGTATTGAGGTTTCTTTTCCAAATTCTAGAGGCAAATGCAAGCAATAGCCAGATACATTCGAAGTTCTAACTGAAGAAAAATTCTTGTATTCTTCTAATGATAGCTGGGGTATGTGTGTGCGCCTCAAAAAAATGATGAGGTAACAATTCTGACATCTAAATTAGTTTCAATAGAGGCAATCAAACAAGCTGCAGATGCAGAGGTAATTTTACCTGTTCAAGAGAATGGTAATCATCACCGATTCTTGAATACCTTGACTGCGGCTTGCTTCTTCCATCATCATAAACAGCATAACTGGCTACATTCGGAGAAGAGCATGGGTTAGATGAAGCCCTACAACCATATGAATCACCATGATGATGATCCTGATGCCTTGAATGTTTGCTTCCCATATTGGTGTCTCCAACTTTCTTATCCTAATGTTGTTACAAACTGTTCATCAACAAGAACAAAAGCATTTAGACATTTATATCCCACTGAACAACAACAGATGCTAAAAAATATTCCGAATAATTCCATGACAGGAGAAAAAAATAACAGCTACCTAAAAAACTGAAATATAAAAATGACAAATTGAAGCTTAATTCTTCATATCGGCACCCCACAAGATACAGAACAGAAACAAATAAAAAGAAACATTGCTTTATAATTCAAGAATCTACAGCCTTCGAGACCCATATAAAACTTGTAAACCAATTCGCAGAAGGAAATTATTAAATCAAATTAACATAAAAAATTATAAACAGAAGTAAACTGTATTTGTACTTAATTAATCAAAAAGTCAATGGAAATCCTCTTCAACTTGCTAGGAACCTACCAAGTAAATTATTATGGCTTAAACTAAACAAACCCTTCTGAAGTTTAGCGGCAAAATACAAGGAAACTTCTTTGAAACCCACCATTATTACCAACTTTGCAAGTCAACTAGCAATCATGCATGAGATAAGGCATACCCCGAAAGAGAGAGAGAAAACAAATTATATATTAATTACCAATTAAATAAAAAAAATTGAGGATTAATCGGATATAGTAATACAAGATTAATGAAGGAAAAGAAACATTGTTTTTGTCAAACAGAATCTCACCTAAATTGTGTTTCTGATCATGTTAATGACAATTGTCTCTCCTTTTATTTCTGTTAATATTAAAGTAAAATAGGCGCACAACACGCAACTGTTTTTTATTTGGACTAGATGATAGCTTCACCAGATGGAACCTTGATTTCGTTGAAGACCCTCTGTCCCAGACAGGCACTTGTATGGTTTGATTGATTGGATTGTCATGATCTTTTGTAACGGGTATTGAGATTTCCCTGCAGATTCAGCAGTTTCGTAGTTGCTGACACCTGTCACCTCTCGTCATGGTAATATATTTGTATCTACGTTTGTATACATACTTATTTAGTAAAATCATAGTTTGCGTCGAACCAGGAAATTCCAGACCTGCAATCTCATCAAGGCCAAGCTTCACTTTCATGACAACTGCTTAACTAATCTTCAATGAGCTCCCTGAAATCATGTTTTATGGAATTCTTATTACCATTTTATTTCTTCGTCATTTTCCAATACATTTCTTGATTCTATGTATAATTCTCGCTCAACAGATATGCTACTGTCAGTTGCTTGAATTATTCTCTTTTTTTAGTTTTTTTTTTTTTTTTTTTCCTATTGGCTTCAGCAGTAACTTCCCTACCTGGACAGGCATCATGGAAAAGATTTGAGGTTTTACCTTGAACAGATTCCCTGATAAGTTAGACAGATTCAAGATAACTTGTTGGTGGTAATTGCAAGACCTCACACCACAGCTGAGACAGATGTTGTAGAGCGAAAGTTGTTCTATTCCATGTCCAAATCTGTTCCAGTTTTGAATTCTTCAGGCAACGAAAACTATGGGCTGCCTGTAGTCTCTTGCAGGAACGACTTATTATCTTTTAATTCGTTTGAAATCTCTGATAGGTTCGCAAGCCAACAAATTTTCAACATGTTCACTAGGATCTGCCAACATTTATCCCTATAGAACTTGACCAATTCCTCCATGTCAATGGGATGCGAATCCTCTAGAAATTCATGCCAGCCATTCTCTGTATGTGTAACAATATATTATTACTCAAGTAAAACACGCCAATATATTATTACTCAAGTTATACATTACATAATTTATATGAAGATCAAACACAAACTCTGATTAATCACTATCATACTTTGCCAACATGTCAGTATAACCATAGGCCTTCTCCTGAGATGTATCTATGAGAAGCACCTCACGGCAAAGCAAAGATCAGAGAGTTTGCTTAAGATAGCACTCATCTGCTAAAGTTTTTTTTTATTTCTGAACACTGAAAAATACAAGTAATAATTACGAAACATCAGCTTGATGAATATACAGAAACACAAGCTCCACGGATGTACTTAATGAGTCCACACTTCTACTCGGTTATCACACCCAAACACTCAGGCATTTCTACTTGATGATCTATTTGAACTTTGATGAATGGTTGGGCTTGAACTTGTAAGTACTGGAATCCCCAAGTCGAAAAGGAGCATCGGATTGGCTACCGTGGCCTCTCTTGTTCTCATATCCTGGATAATCACCTCTGGAGAAGGGCACAATTTCGTGCAAACCCAAGCCAATCTTCTCTGCTTTCTTGACCAAATCCCATTTATCATATGGGTCACCTTCCTTGTGTGTTACATGAATCTCCCCTTTATCCTGCTTCAAAAGAACTTTGGCATTGCTTAAATAACCCTTTATCAGTCTCTTGTTCGACCTATTTCAATCCCGCCATATTTTTCATCAGTTAATGTTTCCAATTTTGATATGACAACATAAAGATCTCTTGACAGAACATAAAGATCTCTAGACAGACATGAAAGCATACAGACATTCAGCAATTTCAACACATTCTTTCGGCAGACAGTTCTCCAGTTCTTCCCATTCAAATTTGATCTTATGCATGAATGAATCATTATGAAATATTTGGTCAAACCCCACCTCTTTTACTCAGTTTCAACCTAGTTAGAATGTCCATCAGATGTTAAAGAGAATTCCTACACTAAAATAAGAAAAGCTTAATGTTTCCCTTGAGAGAACAAAAACACAATGAAAGAAACAATGAAGAGACTAGCTCAAATAATCGTGGACAAAGGAACACGAAACTGAAAGGGAAGAGTGAGCAAGAGAACATAACTGGACCCTCAAGAAGAGGGAATCAAATGCAGATAGTTATTCCATGTGGCAAAAATTAATGAGGGGGTTCTCGTGTTCTTCGCATTAAGACTTGCTCTTAAGTGAGAATGCATCATTTAGACTCTATCTCATTGTATTAAGAATTCTAATACAGGAAATTAGAAATCAACTCAAGAAAATAAACAAAACATAGACTCAAGCAATCATATGATGGTATAAATAGAAGCAAAGGGAATGTAAATGATGTAAGAGGCTAGAACATAACTGGATTTGGCAGTAGCTAGCCTCAGGGAAGAGGAAACCAACATGAGGGAAGTTAAAGACAATTCGATCAAACCTCTGAGTCCTCAAAAAGAAGTGTTCACTCATCTCTTTTGCATCCACTCCATAGAACACTAACCCTCCCTTCTCTTCTAGTTCCCTCACGTTTCGTACTCCATTACTGTAATTTTTAGCTACGGTATCTATGCAGCACAGATAAACATAAACCTTCAATTAGATTATTCAAAATTCTTGCTTTAACCAGCCAAACTAAAGAAACCCGTCAACATGTTGGAAGTAAAAAGAATGGAGAGAGAAAGAGAGAGAGAGTACCTTGGGCATCAACAGTAGTAGAGACCAAGTTGCAAGCAGAACCAAAAGCTCTAGCTAGAGAAACAGAGAAGGAGAAGTCACCTTCTCCGACCAACAACATCCTGTGCTTTGATGAGTAATGTTTTTTCCATTTCTCGGGCTCCTCATCTTCCTCATCATCTGATGAATTTGATTCTGTTTCTGTCTCTTGATATTCTTCTTGTTTTCCCATCTCGGTTTCAACAAAAAGACTGTCTTTCAGTCCTGATCGCTCACCAATACCTTTGCTTTTGGTTGGCGTTGTCTTTATAATTTCTTTTCACCATTCCAAATAAAGCAGAGCCCAATACCCTCTCCCTCCCTCCCTCCCTCCCTCTCTACCGGCATGTGAAGGGCATAAAATACATACACTTTACTACAATACGGGAAACACTTTACTACAATACGGGAAACGAGGATATTGAATTGTTTTCCTTCTATAGTCTCGGATTTTGATTTTTCTCCCCTGGTGAGATAATTACATCCTTTTTTGTGATCAAAATATGAGTGTTGTCTTCGATTGAAAAGAAAAAAGATACATGAATACATCGATAAATAAATTTTACTAATATATCATCATATCATTATTTAATATAACATGTCAACGATTCCTAAAAAGTATCAATTCTATTCCATTTTCCCTTTTTTTCTTCTCTCCATTACTCATTTCTCAAAACACATGGCCCACCAAAACCATATACCTTCACCACCGACCCCACTCCACCACCTCATCAGTCACCAAAAATCTAGTAATGATATTATCCCTGTTCACCTTTTCATGGGTGAGACATAAGCACAAAATCATCCAAATACGAGGTTTTAAAATTTAATATAACGAAGAATAAGATCATTTAGTGATTGAATAATAATTAATTAAATGTTTGTATTAATATATTTTTTTATAGATTAGAAAGTGCATAGTTAATGGTAAAAATTTTAGTACCTTCAAAAGAGTATTTTTTTTTAATAGAATTTGAAGACATTCCAGTGATAAAGTTAATATTTAATATATTAAATAGTAATTAATCAAATATTTATATTAATATTCTCTTTTTTTGGCTTAGAAAGTGTATAATTAATGATAAAATTTATAGTACTTGCAAAATAGTATTTTTCAGTGGGATTTGAGAACTCTCTAATGATAAAGTTGATAACTTTAAATGAGGATTATAATAAATAAAAAAAAGGGATTTAAATTCCAAAAACAAAAATGTTTGTTCTTGTTTTTGTATGGTAAATGCTTTAAGAATTGAGATATGAATGCTTTGAAAGTAGAAAAAATAAACAATTCATCTGGATGGTTTATGGTAGGGGTGAGCAAAAAAACCGAAAAACCGATTAAACCGAGAAAACCGGAAAAAAAAATAACCGAAAAAACCGAACCGAAAAAAAAAAACCGATTAAACCGATTAAAATTTTGAAAAAACCAGCCGGTTCGGTTCGGTTTCGGTTTTATAACCAAAAACCCGAAAAACCGATTAAACCGATTAAAATTTTGAAAAAACCAGCCGGTTCGGTTCGGTTTCGGTTTTATAACCAAAAAACCGAAAAACCGAACCGAACCAAACCGAAACCGAAAAAAAACCGAGCCAAAATCGAGCAGCCGGTTCGGTTCGGTTTCGGTTTTATAACCGAAAAACCAAACCGAACCAAACCGAAACCGAAAAAAAAACCAAGCCAAAATCGACCAAACCCGAAAAAACCAAGCCAAAACCGAGAAAAACCGAGCCAAACCAATTTGAACCGGTTTTTCCCCTAAAAAACCGAACCGAAACCGGTCGGTTTGACCCGGTTTCGGTTCGGTTTCGGGTTTTTTTTCAAAAAAAAATTTTTCGGTTTGGTTACTTTTTTTTATAAAAACCGAACCGAACCGAAAATGATCACCTCTAATTTATGGGGTATTTATAATCCCTAAATTTGTTGTTTTGATCTAGTGAAGTGACTGGAAAGTCATCTAGTCCTAATAGCATTAATGAGAGATAAAAATCAATGACACATCATTTAATGAATGACAAATATCCCTTACAGATTATTAATAAGATAGAAATGTAGTAGGTCCTTAAGAGATCTTTTATACATCTCAAGATATAGAAAGATGATTATTCTTTACATGAATAGTTCATGTTAGTAGTCTCAAGATAGAACTTAGACTAATTGAGTTTGATGCATAGCTAAGCCTATAAGAGATGTGTCTACCAATTTATCAGACCCCAATTGTTTTAGGTTCATCACATAACTAAACAAAAGAATATTGAACCTACCAACTTGCCAGATTCACGATGCATTAGATCAACACATGGCTAAACCTAGAAATACTAGATTTGGTAATTTATCAGATCCACGATGCCTTGAGTCAGTACATGGCTAAACCTAGAAGTACTAGACATGACCATTTGCTAGACCCATGATGTCTTGGGCTTAGCATATGGCTTAACTCAAGTATGTTGGGCTTGCAATTTGCTAGACACATGTTAACTTAGGCTCATTACATGGCTAGACCTAAATATATTGAGTTTAACAACTAGTCACTCTCATATTAACTTGAACTCAACATATGACTGAACGCAGTTATATTAAATCTGACAGCTTGCGAGACCTACAATATATTAGGCTCAACATATAACTAAACTCAAGTATGGTGAGTGTGGAATTTGTCAGACCCATGTTGGTTTGGGTTTAGCATATAGATAAACCCAAGTATATTAAATCTGAGAATTTATCAGATCTATGTTAATTTGAGTTCAGCACATGGCTGAACTCAAATATATTTGAGCTCCAGACTATTTCAAAACATCAAAATATTGAGTTAAAAAGGTCCACTCGTCAAGTTAAAATAAATAAAAAGTCTCATCATTTCCCTTTTTCATAAATATTGAATGAGTTTCCTTTATCTCGTATAACACCAAACAAATTATAATTATATATGATTTTTGAATGTTGAAGTGCGTTAATGTATTAGCCAATTAAATGTTTGATGAACTTCACAATAATGAAAAACAAATTATATCATTGTTATAATTGATTAGACTTTGCTTTAACAAGTTTTAAGATTCTCTAACAGTGTAATTATATGATGGAAGAGATGTTAAAATGTATTTTTCTTATTTTATTTTGTAGTAAAAAGTAGAAGGTTTTAAAATATTGAAATTTTGAGACAGTTATTATATCAAAATAACTTGTGAAATGATTTTAAAAAATTATATTCAATGACATGTTGAAGTGCAATAATTCCGGTGGTTATTAAGATGAAGTGGGATTGATGGTGATGGTAAAGGGATGGTGTTTTGAAGGATTGTGATTTTTTTTAAGAAATTAAAAGATGTTGAGAAGGAAAAAAAAAAGAACGCTTAATAAAATTGGATTTTTAGGAGTTGTTAACATATGATATAAAATGATGATATGACATATTAGTTAATGAGATCAAGTTATAAATTATAGGATTTCACTAATTATAGCTTGAGCACCATAAAGTTTCTCAAAAACATCATATGTTTTTGTCATTAATAAATTTTTATATTTCAAGTTCAAAAACAATAGTTATAAAAGAGAGTTTTTCTTTAACAAACATGCGAGAAGAGACTAGAAACCCTACTAGTTGCAAGTCTCACCTTCTATTAAGCAAGCAAAGGACCCAGTAAATAAGTAATAATCAAAATACACATTATTTTAATAACATAAAAAATGGACTTGACTTGAGGTAAGGAACCTAAAACAAGCATTATCACCTTTTCATTTTTAATTTGACCATAGTAGCATTCCTAACTACATACTTTGATTCTTTTTTCTTTTTTTTATTTAAACTTTTTTTTTTTATCTTTGAAGTGTATTTGATGCTTCATTAAAAATTTCAAAATTAGAAATGAAGATGAAAGCTACCCAATTCCTTGTTCATGCTATATATTTGGCAACAAGATCACAATCACTCAAAAAACTAGAGACTTAGGTTGAAACAAGCATTACTAACTTTAACAACTAAGGAACTTTAGGAGCCGGATGCATCAATACTTGGTAAACATTGTCATAACAAACTACATTTTCTAAAAATGATTTGCATTTATATTTAACTAAACAAATCAAAATTCAATTGATTGTTTGATATCAACTATTGGCAAACCATTATTAGGCCAACAAAAGTGCAAGATTTGTATGGTAAAAGTTTTATGAGTAAATTACATTGAACAAAGTTGATGAGTGTTGAAGTCATAGAAAAACTTCAAAAAATTTTAAATTTTTCATAATTAATAATGAGTTCTTTAGGGTGCCTGCAAAACAAAGATACTTAAGTTATTTATTGAGTTTAATTACTAAATATATATATATATATATATATATATATATATATATATATGAAAAAGTTGTCTTGTTGTGTGTAGTGTATAGATAAGTGTTCTATATTAGTTATAGAGAGGTACTCTAAATAAAGAGATGAGTTTTTTATGCTTTTATAGTGTTTTTGAGAGATGAATATTCTCAATAAGTTATAGAAAGATACTCTAAATAGAGAGATAAGTCTTTTGTCTTCTGTAATGTTTTTGAGAGATAAGTGTTAATATAAAGATGAGATTGCTCTATCTCTCTCTGCTTGTTTTCTTGGCCATTAAAGCTTTTTTTTTAAAAATTATTTTCTAGTTTACAATTTTAAAAATAAAGATTATATGTTATGGTAGTTAGTAGGCTCACATAGTATACCCTCTCAGTTGGTAGAAAACATAGCGTGCTTTTTCTGCTAGTAAAATGTTACTTTTGTCTTAGATTGTGCGACAAGAAAACAAATTGTTTGACCGTATAAAAAAATATTATAAAAACCACACAAGAATAATCTTAAGAGAGTTAAGTTAGTAGGCTCACATAGTATTCCCTCTCAGTTGGTAGAAAACATAGCGTGCTTTTTCTGCTAGTAAAATGTTACTTTTACCTTAGATTGTGTGACAAGAAAACAACTTGTTTGACCGGATAAAAAAATATTTTAAAAACCACACAAGAATAATCTTAAGAGAGTTAACCTTAATGTGGGTTACCATAACAGTCTCGGTGTAGGCCATCATTAGCTATAAGATATAATACTATTTATAAATAAAGGTATCATAACTCTATTTATAAATAAGATTGAAATAATATTATGTATAAATAAATCTGAAATAAATAATAGGTAATTTAATAATAGATATTTAAAAATTAGCTATATAAATAATAATATATATACCTACGATTACCTAATATTGGATTACAAACATTAACAAACATGCTAAGCTTTTACTAAAATATGTACTAGAATATTAGTGAAAAATATTCAAACAATGTTTTTTTTAATTAAATATCAATAAATAACGATCATCACTTTGAAAATAAATACATTATTTACTTAAAAAATATAAATTT